CGCCATAAACGGCCGTTTCGTATTAAAATAGAAACCCGTTTGGATTTAAAAGGGTAAAGGATTTTCGGCAAAGATCTCCCGGCGGGCGACGTAATTCGATTAATTGTAAAAATCCCGTTCCCACCGGCGCCCGAAGGTAAAAGTTTTGCTAACGATATCAAATCTTAACGTTTAAGAAGAAGAGAGGGAGACAAAAATATCCGCATTCTCGCCGGAGGGGAGAAAATTCCGCCTGGTACCACGGCTTTTAAATACTCTAAGAATCATTTTCTTACAACTCGGTGTAGGCCGGAGATTCTCCGTCTTTTTAAGCCGGAGCCGGAAAGGGAAAATACGCGAAAATCCCGTACGATAGGGAGACAGAAAACGCTACTCGCCTTTACTCGTCCGCATCCCAGCTAGGCGATAAACGCTTTCTTTTAAATTCCCCGCACACCGGATAACCTAGCGATTAAGACGACGTTGGCCGACCGCGTAAAACCCGCAAATAACAATTGGCTTATTTTACGCGTAGGTAGGACGACGGAGCGCGAATCGTCTTACCAGAAACAAAACGTCGGGAGTCGGAGGACTTTTTTAAGGGAAAGACGGGTTAGAAGCTGGCCCGTCTTTAAATAAATACGTATCGCGCCCGGGAAACCACTTCCTCGTTAATAAAACTTTTACCGACTCGGGAGAAGCAATTGTTAAATTTCACTAATTAAAATATAAGCCTAAAGCCGTTATCGGTTACGAATATAACGTCGCGTCACTCGGCGGACGGAAGGGTTCGAAGGTTAAGAGCGTTTAATTACGAATAATTACGTTTTCTTTAAAATATAGCAAAAGTTTTACTAGTAATTATAATCCGGCGCTTTTTCGGACGGCTTTAAACCGTGCGCCAAATATTTACTCGGTTTTCGTATTCGTTGCCAAATAAAAACACGTAAATATTCGACTAAAATCGCATCTAATTATTTAAAGAAATACGCGATTAAAGGACGTCGGCGGAGTTTACAAAATATCGTACGTTCGCCGGCCGCTACGTGACACTCTCGTCTGGTTTTCCCCGCCTCGCGCCGTCGGCCAATAAAATGATCGACAGATGATGTAACGGGTTTAGTTCGGAGAAACGGCGATTGATAAGCGTACTTCCTCCTCTTTAGAGGTCGTTCGTTTCCCTTTCGATACGTAAAATTCGACGCGTCGTTCGTTTTATCTTATTAAAATTTAAATATAGTTATTAAATGGCCGTGTTCGGGCCGGAATTTCCTTCCGACTAAAAACAAAAAATATTCCGATTCGTTAATCGTTTTATATTTTTAAACGTTCGACTAGAAAAGGCGGCCGCGGCTAATTTAAATAATTAAATATATAAAATTAATTAACGGCGGTGGCCTTTAAGTATTATTTCTAATCCCATTCCGAAATGTTTTAAAATTGAAAATTACGATGGGAGAGACGGAAGGAACCGAAACCGGAACGACCGCTATACGGTACGAACTTTTATCGGCGACGTCGCTCCTGGTCGCCGCCAATAGCGACGCCCGAAAGTGACGTCGCGTTTCGCGCGGACGAATGATATCCGTCGACGACGCTTCGAGCCGATAAGAGAAAAACGTCGTCTATCGTTCGTATCTTCGCCCGCACCGACCCAGGCGAATCGCTTCCCGTGAGTACCCGTCGTTTTCCTTTTAATTCGTCGGCCAAATTTACCGTTTGTATTTTATTTTACGCCGGATTTACGCGCGTCGACGTTATAGATTTTTAATTTTATTATCGCCGACGGAGGTAAACCCGGTTCGACGCTTCCGCCTCGTCTGGCCTTCCGCTCGTCCTACGTTTCCATATTAAATGTCTAAATTTTGACGCGTAAGAAGGATTTAACCCAGAAAAATAATTTTATATACGGTCGACCCCCTATAACGCCGTCCATAATTCCGTTTTATACCAATTCCGCGTGGTACGAGTGGCTTAGATTTTACAAACACGCGTGCCGGACCGCGAACGGCTGGCGTGTTTGTAAAATGTAAGCGACTCGTACCACGCGGAATTGGTGTAAAACGGAATTATGAACGGCGTTATAGGGGATCGACCGTAATTTTTTACGCGCCGGCCATTTGTCTCGATTTACGTAGTCGGTAACCAAGTTTAAAATACGCGGGCCCGTCCAACGATAACGGTAGAACGTAAGCCGAATAAAATAGAAAATACCAGAAATTTATTAGCGGGAAAATAAGTAGGTAAAAATCCAATTTATTTTATTTTAAGCATTTTAACGAAAACGAAAGACGGAAAGGACGTAAGACTTTTTAAAAAATGGCAGATTTCTTTTAAGATTACGTCGCGGCTCTTTAATTTATTTACTCTGCGAGCGTGGGGAAACTTCCGTACGTAGACCCCCGCGTGTGTTTGGCCCACGAATTTATCCGTAACGTCGACGGCCAAATTATTAGGCGAAGATATTTAATTAAAACATAGAAGTTGCCGCCGCGCGACCATTTGCCCGGTCGAACGCTTTTTGCGTTAGGCGTTTTCTTATTCTCTCCGTACTTTTCGCCACCGTTCGAGATTAGCATTTTAGTTTTAATCGCGCTAAATCCATTTCGTAGTTATTTAGAAACGAATATCGTCCGTTAAGACTGGACGGTCGACGTATTTGTTTTTATGGCTAGGGCTAGTTCGAATGGCGATTACCGCGGTAGGAAACAGAATTTAGTCGTTTAACGGTACTTAATACCGCCATTTCTCCGTCTTTACTAAAAGAGTTAGCGATATTTTCTTATTTCTTAATATTCTTTTAATATTTTAAAGTAATATTTAAAAGTACCCACCGGTGTTTTGTTCTCCGGTTCGGTTATTTTAACGGTTTCCCCCACCGGTAGATCGCGTTTTCCGGACGCTTTCTCCGCCTAACGGTACCGTTAAGAGCGTCTTAAAAAGGCGGATAAATGTGGACAAGTTGTACGCCGGACGGAGGAAGGGAAGAGCGATTATTTAAATTCTAAATTAGGCATAAATATCCGCCGTCGATAGAAGCTAGCGGCGCGGTTAAAGGAAGAGCGTATTAATTTAACGGCGTTAACGAATATTGCGACTTTTGTCGACACGTTCCACTCGTTTAATTATTATTTATACTTTGAACTGGCGTTAGTGTTTCCACCCATGCGAAATGTTACGCCCAAGCCCGTAAGTCCGGTTAATTTTCCAACTTCTTGCGCAACCCACCGGTTATTAATGCGATAAAAGTTACGTCGAATGGCGCAATAAAACTTCTTAATTACGTTTTTCTGCTGGTCGGCGGATCCCTTTCGAAATGAATGGGCCCTGGGAAGGCGTTTACGCTTTGTTCGAAAATTTATATTTGATTTCTGTTAATCCAATATAAATCGGGTTAGTATTTGAGCCGTCGTAAGACTTTGTTTCGCGTATTACGTTTCGATTTTGTCGGTTTCTTTTTCGAGAATTCGAAAAGAATGTTTTGATTTTACGTATCGTTACCGAGACAAACTTTATTAGCGCTTACGAAAACCCGCGGAAAACTTGGAATTTTCCCACAGACTTTACGTTCGAGTTAATGGGTGGAAAGCTACCGAACGTCGTTCTTTACCTAAGCCGGAGGTTGGTTTATACGGAGTATTATTTTAGGCCGTAACCCATCGGATGCCGGAGTCCGCGCGTGTGGAAATTACCGGCGTACGCTTCCCCGTAAGAACGTAGCGTATTCGACCGGGCGCGATATATCCGGGGTCGGACGGCTCAAGATATAATCTTATAATATAATCGAGACGGGTCGATAATCTCGGAGCCTATTATATACGCAATTAGCGCTAAGAAAGGAGTTTTCGAAATTTCTCCCCGCCGGGGACAGGCGGAGGATTAAGGCTTACCCCGAAGAACTCGACTTGTACCGTACTATTTTAGATGCGGATTTTTGCGGTTTTGCCGGAAATCGAAGATCGGAATACGTCTCGGAAGAGGGGTAATCTAATTCTCGCACCCGGCGAAAACGGGTGAAATCGGCTATAGTTTAATAATCTTACTTGTTAATCTCGGCCGTCGTTACCTTTTGTCCCAGCAACGCCGGGCTCATTAATTAATAATACGTAAGTGTATTCCATCTTTCCGGAACAATAATATACGTAGAGGCGTAAATCTTAGAAAACCGAACGGGATCTCGGCGGTGGTGGCTAAAGATCCTCTTCGATAAAAGAAAAAGGCATCTACGTTATCGTTAAGGTCATACCTTGTATTTTCTTATAATTGTCGAGCCAGAAATGCATTTTCTGGCACCTTTAACATAGCGAAAAAACGGATGCCTCCGCCCGGCGGAAGAAGATTCCGTCATTATTACATCGTTCGATCTCCAAAAACACACCTTTACGGCAATAATTAAAGATACGGAAGAAAACATTCGGCGACTTTGGAAAATTTCCGTTTAGGATATCTTCGAGTTCGTCGGTAGCGAATACGTAATCGAACGAAGGAAAAACATTTTTAAATACTTTTATTTAAGATTAGCGACGTCGCCGTAAGAGGTTTTAACGGATCCGAAGACCCGTCGTCGTTCCTTAAAGTAAATTAATTGCCGCAACCCGGCCAATTCCTGGACAGAAAACGAAATTAACGGCCATCGTCTTGGATTCGAGAGTATTTTAAATTATTTGTTTAATTAAGGAAACCGTTCGATGGCCGTCTTAGTTACACCCAGAACGACTTTTCGAAAGTTTTATTCTCCTGGCCGCGGGTATTCGGACGGTCTTTTTCCGGGCCGGAGGCGTGGGAGGACATTGTCGGAGTCTTCCGGGGTAGGGGCGAGTTCCTTTACTCCTTTCGCCGTACCGATTGGCGGAAAGGCCGACGTCTTCCCGCGACGAGAGACGGAAAATCGTCGGCGGCGGACGGAACCGGCGTATTCCGGTATTTAATTACGTTCGGAAACGACTTTCGTTCGCCGCTTAAATTACCGCTCGTTTGCCCGAATCGATTAGGTGGGCGGCCGGACAAATAAATGGCCCGTTGCGGCCTGGTGGGAAACTGGAGAAATGGGTTTACGTCGTTCGAACTCGACGGAATCCGGGTTTCGGGCTCCGTCCAAATATACAACTAGGTCTCGGCCCAGGCGAGATTTACTTCGTTTACCGTTTTGTGGCGTAAGTCGACCTCTAATTTTGCCAAGAGATTTTTCGGGCGTAAAAAGCCGACGTTTACTCCGGCATACGTGGCGGGTGTTAGCCCGGTCTCTTCTACGCGGTTTACGGAATTCGATGGATCGATTTCGACGAATCTTTGCCACCTTTTATTAATTGCTACCGAGAACAAAAAATCCGATAAAAATGGGGTTCCGAGACTCGGTCGTCGATACGCGGCGGTGTTAAAGCGATAACGTCCGTCCGCGCACCCCCGCGCCATTCGTAGCGCCTAACGTCGTCGGATGGCAGTTTTAAGAAACGATTCGAGCCTTTATAATCACCCGTATTTAAATTTCACGTAACAAAGCCATTTAAGTTTAAGAATTTATTCGGCAATTAATAAATTCTTCGACCAGTTTGTAATTAAACCAAATTACGTAAGTGTAAATAATGTTTATTGTAATAAGTGTGTATGTGTTACCAGGGGGTTACGTGACGCAATAATTCTAAATTAATTGACGTCTGGTCAAAAACTGTTGAGAAACATTTTCGAATATTATAAATTTAAATATATAAATCACCTATACGTAAGATATTTTAAGCGAGTCGTATAAAACGTTAGTAGTTACGGTTTGTCGCCGTATGGAAAAATAGGCAGACCTCTTACAAATATAAGAAACGTAAATTCTAACGACTGCGCTTTTTTCTTTAGTCTTATAAAATTTTTGTATTAAAGAACGAAATCCTAAGCGCGACAACATTAAAAATTGTATCGCTGGGTTGGAGTTATCCTCCATGTCTCCAGACGGATTTATCTGGGTCGAGCGCTTTTCTTCTAATATTCTCCATAATATAACCGATATTTACGTATAGTTCCCCGTCGTAAGGGTGGTTAAATATACGTCGCCGTACGGTGCCAGCGTAATTTAAGTCTATTATTAAAGTTTCTTTTTCGTCGTTTTAACGGTCCGTACATTTATTTCTTCTATCCATCCGTTTACCCTCTCTTAAGTGGTAGTTAATTCCTACTGGAAAAACCGTTCGACCGAACCGCTTTATCCGGATTAATATCGTACGTACAGTACGTATACTTTTTATTATCCTTAATATAATAGTGGTGTGTTTCCGTCGAGTTTTTCTCGCTTAATTGCCGGTAGTCGTTTTTCGCCCTTATTCTAGATCCGTGGTAAATCTCCTCCGTCCCTCTTTCTCTCCTACCAGGATCTCGCTACGGGTTGGCTTTCGCGGTTGCCGGTTAGTCCCCAGTCCTTTTTTATATACCGATTAATTCCCTTTAGGTAATGGCGCCAGTTAAACGGGAAATTTATAATTATAATGTTTCTGTTGTTTCTCTCGTCGATCAATTTGTCTATTTCGAATTCCGTCCTACCTTTTATTTGACCATCGTTCTTGGCTATTTTTTTCCGTTTCTTCTATGTTTTGAGACAATTTTGTCGACTCTCCGTCAAAATAATTATTTCCTTCTTTCGATAAATTAACCTCCGTTTTAATTTCTTTTAGTTCGGTACGCAGTTGTGGAAATTTATCCCGCGTTACTGAGTATCGAGGTTCTTCCCGTACTCGCGGTGTATTAATTTTCGTAGTTCTCCCAGTCCCGGGACCGCTTTTATCAAACCATTCCTCCGTTCGATAATAATCGTCACTAATTAGAACTTTCTTGGCTACCGCGCCCCTTCTTCGCCCGTCCGCTGGGCTGGCGCGTGGTGGAGAGGGGGGAAAAGGACGCGGCAATTAACGATAAACGTATAATTAAATCTAAGGATAGTCCGTTTACGCGTATCCGCTTCCTGGGTTCGATCGTTTTACAACTACTTACGGCCTTCCGACGCACCGAATAGTTGGACACCTCCGGCGACTAGCGCACGCCCCCCAATTAAATTCAATTAGAAAAAATGTCAACCGTCAATACGCGTCGTTACCGCACTGGACGGAGGGAAGGATACGTTATAAATTGGAAACGGAATCGGTAATTGCTTGGAATGCGCCTATCCCGTAAATACGGTGACGAAACGGTTTCGAAAAGCCCAAAAATGTACGAGTAGTTAAGATATTTCGAGTTTTGCCCACGCCGGGGTATCGGAGTAAACGCCCGGGGATACCTTCGTTTTAAAAGTTTAATAGAGGAAACGCTACAATTTTTCGCATCGAGCTTTAGGCCTACTTCCGAGTAACGCCAGAGGAATAATGCCGCCACCAATTCTCCGGTAGGCTTTATACTCTTTTTTGGATAAATCGAAAGGTAAAATGCTTTTTCGAAGTCGCCGTAAAGCTGGCAGTAAAAGGCGTACGTACGGTACCGCGTGCGAATGAAGTTTGGAGGAAAGAGAATCTATGGAAAGGTTATTTCATTCGACGGTTTCGGACGTCTACACGTCACCAGACTATCCGCCTATCGTTTACGCCAGATAAATATATATTGTTATTTATCTTCCGTCGATTGGCCGTTACGAAATACCGCCAGCGGTAAGCAATAAATAGATAAGTGGCCGAGAGTAAAATTAATCTAGCCAGAACATTCTCGGACTTATTCTTGCCCGGGCGTAAACTTCCGTCTGCCGGACTATAACTGCGGCTTTGTTAGCGGATTACTCTTTTCTCTACTTATTAAACTTATTTTTACTTACGATAATTACCACGGTGCGAAAGGTATTTTTATATTTTATATATACAAATCGGATATTGGCGTACGCCACATATCCGCGCCTCGTTTAAAAGTACAGTCCGGAGGTTAACGCTTTAAGGAATCGATTAGCGATCGATTATAATTCAAACCGACGCTTAAATTATTAAAGTAGCGCGCGTACGCGTATATACTGTATTGTACTCGACAGAATTTCTATTGCAGAATTATGAAAATGAATAGACCGATTCGTAGAAGGCAAATCCGCAGAAAGAAGAAAGGAATTTGCCAATTTCTGTACGAAAAGTTAGAAGACGAGACTTTCGATTTGGCCCAGTGGACCGACAAGGATAAAGGAGAATTCCGTCTTCATTGGCTGCACGCGTCCAGCGGTTCCTGGACCAGAGAAACCGATTCCGAATTGTTCCGTCTTTGGGCTTTACACAAAGGTAAATTCTTTCTTCGTTACTTCCAATCGCTTACATTTATCGAAATGACGTAGGAGGGTCGGACGTTAATTGTCTGGCTAACTTTATTATCTCCGCGCTCTTTTCTACTCGGCGCGGGCCGTTTCGGGCACCGCGTCTTTACGCAATAAAGAAATTACCATGGTTTTACTTTACGTAGCGGAGGAGGCGACGAAGAAATAACCGGGCGGACGGACTAAATTTTCGCTTTCTACCGCTAATACGGCAGTCGGAAGTCGGATTTTTTCCAGCGTAACCAAGGGTGGAGCGGTTTTCGTTCCGTTAGATAAAATATCGACGCTTAGCCGGGCCGTAACGGAACCGCGCGCCTTACTAGCGAGTGATTATACTCCCCCTAGTAACGTCCCTCTCCTCCGTCCGGAGTTACGTTTCCCGAGTTCGAATTATTGCGCGTAACGATAAAACGGCGTAAGACGGGAAGTAAAACCTCGGGGCCAAAATATTATCGAAAAGTCGACGTAAGCTATAATTTGTATTTGCGGAAGAGTAGAAAAGGGCGAAATTAAAAAGAATAATTAAAGGAAAGTATAAACGATTCCTTTAATTATATAAACGGCAAAACGTGGAAGAAGAGGATGGAAATTAAGCCTCGGTCCTTACAATATTTTCGGAGAAAGAAGGAGGAGATGGCTTCCGATCTCTTAGAATAACTTACCTAAACTACCGGAACTAAACGAATGTTTGAGGCCGCGTTGGCCGTTCGAATATCGACCAGTTCGCAAAACTTGGGTTATTACCCACCGTATTTGTACTAACGAAAATCGCAAATAGGAAGGTAAGCGGCAATGACGTAAACGAAAGAATAGTTTTCGGCTGGGTTCTATCAAAAACTATAGAACAGTAGAGGCTTTTTTGCAATTATATTTTCGTTATCTTTCGAAGTAGTCGCAATTTACTAAAACGGTATTAGAATTGGACAAAGCGTATTACTGCCGGGGTGATTTAAAAGTAGGAAACCGTTTACGTACCGTACGGTACAGTACTCGGTCTCGGCCGATGTAAAAGAAAGCCATTTAACTCTTACTATAAAAGTAACGAGTTACTTTTTTCGATAATAGGAAGATTGGCCGATATGGACAAATACAAAACGTTGAAAGCCAATTTCAGATGCGCCATGAAGAGTAGATACGAATTAGAAGAAATTAAAGAACTTCCGAATTCCAGGAGAAAGGACTTGAAATTCTGGAGATTCACGGATTTTTCTTTCGTCAAGCAACAGCAGACGACGGCGGATCCGGGCCAAAAGGAGAACAGAGGTAGCTTCCTTTACCGTCCATTTTCTACTTTTACCAGTAATCTATCGGACTCTCCACCCAAATTCTCTCTTAATTTAGACGACAACGACCACGCACACCGTTCCGAAATAAAGAAAGCGTCCAGAAACGTAAGAATGGAAAAATTCTCCGCCTTAAATACGGAGCCGTCGCGACTTACTCGTACGTACCCCGAATTAACGAATTTTCCAGCCGGTGGGTCGGGCATTTATTTTCCGAATACGGTTAAGGGAATGTTTAGTTTGGCATTTAGCCTAATATAAGCGGGCGTAGGCCGAGTCGTAACGAGCTCCGTACTCGGAAGGGCCCCTTTTAAAACGCGATTGTCTTTTCAGTCCGGTAAAGTTTCCAAATCTAGAAAGAAAACGAAACTGGTCATCGATTTCGGCCAATCGGACGACGTGGAAAACCGAGATTGCCGGCCCGGTGGCCTAGAAAACAATTACCAGGGTAAGCAAATTTTACCGACAAGATAAATTTAATATTAATTCGTGCAGATTCCGGCCTTCGGTTTACTTTCGGGTATCGGTCTTTTCGCTTTGTCCGCGCCGGCCCCACCCTTCGCAATCCGGCCACGCAGTTATTCGCGAGTAACGGTTATTTTTTACGCGCCTTTGGTCCGGAACCGGAAACGACGTTTATTAAATAAAAAGCCTTTAAACGGCGGACCATCCGGCGGCGATAAGAATAAGACAAATAACGGTAACACCGAACGAGGCCAGCGGAATTTCTTACAAAAATCCGAGTCTTTCGGAATTTTCATTTTAATTCGTTTCCAGACCGATTAGCCGGACGATAAATTCTTACGTCCGGCTAATCGGTTTGAAGAAAAGATTTTAAACGTCTCTCGACTGGAGACGTTTAAAATCTTCTCTTTCTTAATCGTTTCCTTTTTTTATAATAATTATCGTAACGATAAAATTAAATTAATAATATTATTTCCGCAGCTGAAGACAATTTCACGCCTCCGTTAAACGAAGAACCCGAAATCACTTACTTCATGGACATTTTAGGTAGGTGGATGCCGACGACCGGGCCAAAACGTATTTCTTTTTAAGTTTCTCGTTTCCGAGCGCGGGTCCCCGCATCTCCCGCCGAAGTAAAAGGGGCGGAATTTCTTTAGTCCTCGTCCCGTAAAATATTGAAGGAAATATATCGGCTTTTAACCCGGAGCGGGCCAAAGGGCTAATTATAATAACGCGTAAAGTGTGGAAGCGGTTTTTCTATTCTATTCTCCGCTTTACTTTTACGCGAAACACTCTTTCAGCCTCTTTTATAAAGAAAATCCGCTTCCCGCATTTACTACCGTCGGGAAACTAAACTCTGCCTATTGGTTTGGCCTAGTAAGTTTATCGTTCGACTAACTTTGACAATTATATTTCAGGACAAGACAGGAGCGCGCAAGAGGAATTAATGCACTTCCGATCGCCCTATTACGGTTAGTAACTGGTTTTTGCTTTATTCGCGAATAAAATAATTACGCTTTTCCTATCGTATAATTTATAAGGTTTATTCTAAAGAACTCTGCCAAAATTGTCAGATCGGAGGGATTCGCAGCTTCGGCGTGGTCCGGTTAAAAATCGTATTATTAACGGCGGGTGTGGCCGTATTCTATCTCCGATCCGGCCGTTACCATTTTATTTTTTTGCCAGTCGACGTCCCAGCAAATTCTCTAAAGCTTCGCGCCGTCCCGGTCGGTCCTCCGAGTAATCATTTTCCGGCTCCGACCAGAAAATAGAAATTTGCGGGCGTCCTTATCGGAAGGAAACAATAACTTTACGGCTACGAATACACTGGGCCGAGTTTAAAGACGTTGAAATTCTTATATCCGAGAAAGAATCGATTACGGGCAAAGTTGGCCAGGGGAAGGAAATAATTTATTTGCGCCTATTCTTCAGAAATTTGCCAAAGGGTAAAGGGACTCGTCCCGTATTAAGTCCGAACAATGGCGGACTATAATTTCTTAAGCTCAAATTGTCGCGGTTTTACCCGGTAGTCGACTTAATCCATCTACCATTGTCTTTATCAATTTTAGGCGATCCGCATCCGGTTTCCGTCCAAGAACCCGACTTCGACTCTACTTCGGACCTAGGTAACTTTTTTTTTTAATTAAATAAGTAATTAATTGGTCCGGGGCGAAATCTTAACCCCGCAAACCGTTATTCCAGACCTGCTCGTCACTAATCAAATAATGTCCCACCAAATGGATACGTTGGAGAGGGGTGAGTTTTCCTGTTTTTTTTTCCTGGGAATTTCTGACATTTTTAAAACTAAAGCCGGTTTATTAAACGCAGCCGTGGCCTACGAATATAAAGAGCCCGTCGAACCGTTTTATTCAGGTGAGTCGACTTTGTCTTCGGTTTTCCGCCAGCTAACCTCCTCTTCTTCGCCTCCGACTTTACCCGGCAGTTACGGGATTACTCTTCCACCCGCTTCTTATTCCGCTCTCTCCTCTTCCTTCCGCTTTATTCGCCTTTAATTTGGCTGCCGGGCCGTCTCCGCTAAAATTCGGAAGGGAAGGCTTCGAGCGAAGTAACGTCTTTGGACTTTTCTTAAATACAAATAAATGGATGTAAAATTCTTTGAAGACGGACGGCGCTTTGGCCCGGTAGTTAAAATGACGGAAAAGCCTTTCCTCCGACTTTTTAATTCTCTTTTCGTTGAAGGGTTAATTTATTTTCAGATTGCATTCTGAAGAGAGGGGGCGCGTCCGTGCCCTAGCCCTTCCAAGGACGCTCTTCCCGCGGAAGACGGAGAAGAAGGAAATTGGCGGACTTGGTGGTTACGCATCGGAAATCGATTGTATATTTGTACACATTTAAGCGGAATTTCGAGTGTTTTGCCGAAATTAAAAGAGGTTCTCGTTAAAGCGCGCCTTCTTTATTTACCAAAAGGTCCGTTTTTACTTTTAACGTAAGTTTAGTTTCCGCGGTTTTAGGCTTTAAAGAAGGGGCGGACGTCCCTTCTTCGCGCCGTATTTACGTCGAGGGGCGGTGTCGACGGCGAGAAGAAGAAAGAAAACGGCGTACCATCGATAGTATCTACCATTTTACAACGCTCGTTTTTGGAGACAAAAGCTAAAAGAAGACAATTAGAACGTCGGCTATTGTCGGAAAAAATTTGGCCGCCACACCGGGCCAATAGCGAAAGCCGCTGCGAATTTTAAACGGGCCGTCGTTGGCCGGCTTCTAGTAACTGTTTGTTTATGGAGAAAAGTGAAAACGACTCCGACCGCGGAATATCAAACGACACTCCACGAAAGCCAATCAAATATTATATTAAATTTATTACAAAATTTAATCGAATACAATATACTGACCCGGTAGTTTTTACCATAGCTTACAGCCACCGCCAACGGGAAGGTCGGGTTCCCTTTCGCCGCACGCTCGATAAATGGATCGAGCGGAACGTAACGCTTAGATAACGAAAGCCGAATTATTGCGCGTGCGCATGCGAGTCCTAACTTAAGCGCTTCGCCACTCCCGTCCAGCGCGCTAAAGATCTACTCTAACGCGCCACCACCGGAAGGAATAAGAACGTGCGACTAAATATCCAGATGGCGCAAGGCGCCGATTGGTCAGCCGAATGACGTCAACCTACGAAAATCGGTAATGTCGAGTGACTAGCCTAAACTTCGTATTGTTGTTGTTGTTGTTGCGAGAGCGGACAGACATTATATAATAGTTATAGACATTTCATCTAAAACTCGATAAAAGGCGCTTATAATTTCACTAGCTCTCGTGTGTATTAACATTAATTGAAAATTTTGCAGTAATTTTAACATAAAATTGCGCGATATGAAAGATTTTAATGCCGAGACATCAACAAGTAACTTTTATCTGTTTTTGTATTTTTGTAAGCTTTTTTGTACATTTACTATAATAATAAAATAGTCAAAAACAACAAATGTAAATTGCAAATTAAGTTTTAACATTAGACAATACTGTATTTTTAACCTTACAGAAACTCGTATTTAATGTTTTATATATATACTAGCTTATCCGTCGCGCATTGCTGCCATCTCAGAAGAAAGGAAATTCAAGCAAACTCATTATGATTAAATTCAATTTACATTTTATCGTTTTTATTGAAACTTATTATTATTATTATCCATTTTCATGGGGAAAACATTTCAAAGTGTCGTTTCAGTTCTATTTATTTATTGGAGTGCTCGTGGATACACGATATTTTTCGTTTTTCTTTCTGGTGCGTACACGAATATATCGGAAGGTTTTCCGACGCGTGAGCCGGCCACATACAGTTGTTTATGCGAGAAGCACGGGTTCTTTAAATTTAGCCCACACACACGCTGCGATTGTCAGAAGCGCGACATTCCCCATTTTTATATATATTTTTAAATCCTTTATCATTTTAATTATTTAATTGCTCCTTCCTTTCTTCCTTGGCGCGTTGTGAAATTTCTGATAGTCGGATAATAAACCGTTTTATTGTAATTTGTCTTTTTAAATTATTTCGAGTCGATATTAAAATTTGGAAAAGGAAACATACCTAGATCGGTAAAACACGCGAATTTCCTCCTACAACTTCGATCGTTGTTCGGAGTACAGTTAAATTAAGGTTTTAACGAAGTTCGAGCGAATACATAATTAGCAAAAAAGAACGTTGAAATAAAGTGATTAAACAAAAATTATTACAAATATCGTAAATAGCAAATGCATATATAGAGATATTTTTTGAAGGGGGAAAATGGTCTTCGCAATTTGAAATCGATTGAACACACAGTGCCCGAATGCTCTTGTAAACGCGCGCCATCTATCGTAGGGTAAATGCCATAAACCTTCGCGGGAGTGTATTAAAAAAAACTTCCCAAAGCTTCGTGGCAATCGTACTATGCCAGAAACCTGCGCGGGAGTATATTAAACAACTTTCCAAATTTTCATGGCAATCGGATAAACGGTGTTGTAATGCATGAAGGACATAAGACAGACACACAGACACACAGACAGACATACATTCATTTTTATATATATAGATTACAACAGAATATGCTAAGTAAAAATGCAGATTACTTAACAATTTAATATATATTTTCACCTAAACATAATTCATACTTTTTAATGCATAATTGTTAAAACATTTTAAATAAGTTATTTTTTACAGATTTTCTAATCCATAGGTTTGCTTTTCGAATCAAATCCTGCGAAAACTTAAATATAGACACCGGATATATATTTTTCTACGCAACCGGGTATACAGTACATACGAGACATCTAGAAATAGTTATTCATTAGTACGGTAGTATTATCTTAACAAAAAATAAAAAGGATTAAAAAAAGAAGTTTACTACGAAAACATTACAGTACAAATGTAACGTTACTTTTTCCCAACACATATCGATAAACAATTTCCACCACGAAATGTATGGACATTCTTATTTAAAACATATATAACTATTATATTCAAAGGAATTTAAATGTTTATTGATTGTTAAATCATTTATACCAGAATTCTATACTTTTAATTCGAAAAATGGTCGTACAAATTTGATTAAACATATTTACAGATATTGTATATCTATTATGGAACTGGATACATGAAATTTCTGTAAATTTAAAAAGTGTTGTTTCTTAACACAGATTTTGAACCGACATTCAAAAGCGCAGAGTCTATCGACAGAAAAAACTATCGATTCTAACTAAAACATTAAAAAAAATCATGATAAGAGTAATCTATGGAGAATATTCTTTATTCAAAATTGTTCGACAACTTTTACATTTAAAGTTTATAATTTGTTAAAATTTCCCTTTCGCAGGTATACAAAACTTAGTTAATTTTATTGTTTCGTCTAACTGTATTAAATGCGTGTGACAAATTCTGACTTATCTTAATTATAAATTTCGTCCTTTCTCGAAGTTTTTACGAATAATATCTGTAACAAAGTATAAATTTTCTGTTATTTATTATCCGCGCACGTAAATTTAAAACACTAATCGCGTCATTAAAATGATCTATTGTATATGATTTGGTTCGGAGGTGCATAAAAATCAAGTATTAAGTTAAATGTTCAAAAAAAAAAATCGGCTGTATTTTCACTTTATACTCATTACTCCATATTACGACAACTTAAAAAAAGATCTATTTCGTCACCATTCGTTCCGACGACCACAAAATATAATCTATACTTCGGTGGGTCGACGTCATTCGGCTGACCAATCGGCGCTTTGTGCCATCTGGATATTTACTCGCACGTGAATAAGGATGGGTGCGGGAAAGCCGTTGGCCGGAAACTGCGTCGTGTCGGGCTAATGCCGGCACTCCATTCAGCGCCGCGGAACGGCTGCCCCGCCTGCCTACACGTTTTGCGCCAAATGGAAGGCGATTTCCAACGAATTATGGGAAATTTTTAAATGGCGGCGAAACTTTCGACTTAAAATAAAGTTTCGTACTTTTCCATTTAATTTTGTACTTAATTTCTTTTAAGTTAATATTCGCTGGTTTTTTTTGTTTTGCACCTTTTCGAAATTTCCTAAGGACGACGGGTAAAAATACGATGCGGCGTACGCCCGACCATTTTGCGCCTGCCGATTGGCAGCCGCAAAATGGCCGGCGTACAGTACGTTGTCCCCATGGTCGAGGTACCGGAAGGTGATTTTATCGCACCCGAGACAAAATCCCGCTAACTTAGAAACGGAGAGCCGGCAACGGCTTGGCTTACATCGGCGCGTGCCATACCGCGCGCTTTGGCCACTCGAACCCCGCCACAGACGCCGCGTTGCTTTTCGCCTTAAACTACTACTTCCGGGGCGCGCCCTTCCGCCGGAATATTGGCCGGGTTAAAATCGCGTGTGGCGCCATCTGTCGCGAGATTTTATTTGAAAAATAACTTTTACATTATTAATTATANAACACTATGACACTAGCTGAATGTTAAAATTGTGTATTGTCATCTTTTACGAGATGTTATTAAAATGTAACTTTTACATTATTAATTATAATAAGAAGGCAAATGAGGTTTAATTTCGAAGATAAAAATGGTTTTTAAAAAATATTGTAAATGACTATAAAGAACTAAATTGGTTTATTATAGCATGTTTTATAAAAGATTAAAATCCGTTAATATTGAGAGTACATTATTAATTATAATAAAAATTTTCGAAACAAATACGTTTATTTTTCGGTAAACTAAAAATATGAATGTTTTTACTCCTACAAAAGTCGGAATCTTTTCGAGATACGGTCCGGTCCCACTCCGTTAATATCTCCCGATTTTTCTGGCAATTTCTAGAAACGTTTCTCCTCGTACGCGTTTCTAAATTTCACACGTTTTCGGCAAAAGGCACGAGTTACTAAGTTTCAAAATAGGTGAAGAAAAAAGTACCTCCCCGCTTATTGTACACTAACATCCGTACATACAGAAAAATTTTCCTACTTTTTTTCATTTCTCGACGTTTCCAGGTCCCCGGGTCAAAAATGTAAAAATTCTGGGGAGTAATTTTGTAATACAGTTAATAAAATGGAAGAGAGCGGAAGGCCGAGTAAAGACAATACTTTTTGTAACATAAGTATTCCATAATAAACGTTGCGAATTAGTGTTAAATAATAATATCGTAGTTTTATGTATTTCTGATGTTTCGAGTGTCTTAATTAAATAATACATTTTGTTGTTTGTCAGATGAAATTAAACGGATCGCGGGTCTAATCAGTTTATCGCAATCTCCACACTGACAGATTTGCAATCGTAGATAAAAAAGTCGACGAGTAAATATTCGTTAACTTTCTTTCTTTATTAACTTAATTCCCCATTCTTAGTTATGTCTTTATTAATAGAAATAGGCCACTTATTTCCACTGGCGGCCGAGCGACCAGTTATTTCAACTTTTGTCAAATAATTTATTTCGCTGATAAAATTAATCGAATTCTTCGGTATCGGTCGAACGAAGAGTGGGTGGGGATATTTTTCGTATTACGTAACCGGACGAGATAAATCGATCGGCGATGATCTCGGGGTAGTCGGGCCCGCAAATGGCGCTTTACGCCCATTTCGACTTTTCTACTCACATAGTAACGTAATCAAAACCGAGTAACTATATGTAATATAGAGGAGAAGGTGGTATTATGGAACCACCCCATTTCGAACTGATAATAAAGGCAAACTGTAGCGGAATGTGGCTGAACTGAACTAGGCAGACATCCATGCAGCTATACACGTTAAGTTAATCCTTTGAGGCTGCCTGACCTTGAGGAACTTCAGAATTTCCTATCGCCCACAAACGAAAAAAACCTCTCAGCAGAGGGTGGGGCAGCTTGCCCCGGGCGCCACTGGCAGAGGGGAGCCAAATGGTTTCCAAGAAAAACAAAATTTGTTTCTGGAGGGGGAGGGGCGCCAATATAGTGTCGCGGCCCGGGTGCCAGTTACGTTGGCTACGCCATTGTGTTTATTATTACGCCACTGATGTTTATTGGCAACAAATTCTATTAAAACTGGCGGGGAAAAAGTATGCATAGAAGTCTATGGTGTAAATAGTAGTAGTAGTGGTTTGGGTAGCACCGATCACAAAATTAATTTTTCAAGAGAAATCTTGGGCTATAGATTATGTTAATTAAAAAGCATCAATTATCAGCGAAAGACAATGGCGAGTCGATTTTACTACCAAAAAAATTCATGGATTAAATTTTATAAACAAATATATATTAATAATTCTCAAATTGTAAACATTATTATCGCAAATTAATTTTATAATTTAATAATTAAAAAGAATTTATTAAACTTTGTCTTATTTTAAGTCATGTTTTAATTCACTTGGCTATTAAAACAATAAATTTTTTAAAATGTAAAAGAAAATGATATAGAGTACAAAGATGTTTTATGAAACTGAAGAAATGAATTGAGAAGTTTTCTAAATATTAAAATTATTTATAATTTTAATTTACTCGAGAAATTTTTGATCCGAAAATAATTTATAACCTGAAAAATTAATTTATTAGGTTATAAATAATAAAAGTTAATAAGGTTATAGAAAATAACCTTAGAAAGAAATAGAAAATAATTCTTCCAAACATTGACGAGTCTCACACACGTTTAGGTCGGCCTGCGCAATCTGACACTGCGCCAGGAAAATCAAATGGTTTTTCTATTCTACTCCGGTGGTCGGTACAGTTGGCCAAAACTGTTAAATTTTCCCCCATAAACTACCAAGAATTATAAAGGTCAGGCATGCATGATTACTCCTTTGAGGATTAACCCATCGTGTATAGCCGCCTATATAGCGAGGGGAAAACTCGTTTCGCTTCAGTTAAACGGTTGTCGGCATTTAATCAGCAAATTTGTGTTTTTCAAAATTCGCAAGTTTTGAATGCTAAGCGAATTTAATTATTTTTAAAATATAATTCGTATAGTTGTAGGTTCATAGTCTTATCAGTAAAAAATTAATAAAAGCACTGAATAAATAATAAAAAAATTACAGCTTGTAGAGAAAATAAGGAGAAACTATCTGTCTTTTTCCTTCCTAACAATAAGAAATAGTTTTTATTCCAATGAAACCGTGTTGTTTATTTTACTTTGCTTTTCATAGACACAATAAAGTGACACTTTTCAAACACTAGGCAAATAGACTAGAATAAAAGATGAATAATCTGCATAGTGTTTGAAAAGTGTCACTACATTGTGTCTATGGAAAGCAAAATAATAAAAAATACTTTTTATAAACAACACGTGGGGATATTGTTGAGAGGTAATAATAATAACAACGGTAACACACCCCGCCATCAAAAGTCCATAGCATAATCACTAATCACACATAATGTTATCCCCACTACCATTGACCGACTGCGCAACATTTATTGATCCGTTGCATTGTACAATCGGCAGCATAAGTTTCTATTTCTATTTTTGCATTTTAAAATGTATAATAAAGTTTGTGATTGTTGCAAGGAACATTTTTTAGCTAATAATTTTTTAATAGACTATTAATTTGTGATACACAATATATTATTTTTTCTGTACCCCTAAACAACCTATCGCGTACCCGGGTTGGTAATCGCTATTTTAGATGATGCTTGGAAACTCGTTCCGCGATATCATAAAAGTCATAGTCGAATAATCTGAATCGCTTTCCAGTGAATTGAAAACTTTTTCTGAGAAATGCCGATGCTAAAATTCCCGAATCAGATGATACACAACTCCCTTTTAATCTGTCATTCGGCATTGTTTCGTGACAATTGTCCAATTAGTTTACTTTCTCCACACTGCCTCGAACAGTACGTTATCGAAAGACTTTGCTATTGGGAAGAAGTAAAGTAAATTAAGTCGTTTCGCATTTCCAAAATTGTCAATAACGACCATTATCTCTTGCGTTCGCTTCCGTTGCCTTCAATATCACAAATATTGAATACTAGCTTACCTGTCACGCATTGCTGCCATCTCAGAAGAAAGGAAATTCAAGCAAACTCGTTACGATAAAATTCAATTTACATTTTATTATTTTTATTGAAACTTATTATTATTATTCATTTTCATGGGGAAAACATTTCAAAGTGTTGTTTCAATTTTATTTATTTATTGGAGTGCTCGTGGATACACGATATTTTTTGTTTTTCCCTCTGGCGTGTACACGAATAAATCGGAAGGTTTTTCGACGCGTGAGCCGGCCACATACAGTTGTTTATGCGAGAAGCACGGGTTCTTTAAATTTAGCCCACACACTCGCCGCGATTGTCAGAAGCGCGACATTCCCCATTTTTATATATATTTTTAAATCCTTTATAATTTTAATTATTTAATTGCTCCTTCCTTTCTTCCTTGGCACGTTGTGAAATATCTGATAGTTGGATAATAAACCGTTTTATTGTAATTTGTCTTTTTAAATTATTTCGAGTCGATATTAAAATTTGGAAAAGGAAACATACCTAGATCGGTAAAATAGGCGAATTTCTTTCTACAACTTCGGTTGTTGTTCGGAGTACAGTTAAGGTTTTAACGAAGCTCGAGCGAATACATAATTAGCAAAAAAAGTTGAAATAAAGTGATTAAACAAAAATTATTATAAATATCGTAAATAACAGTTTACAAATGCATATATAGAGATATTTTTTGAAGGGGGGAAATGGTCTTCGCAATTTGAAATCGATAGAACACTATGCGCGAATGCTCGTGTAAACGCTCGCCATCTATCGTAGGATAAATGTACTTCGCGGGAGTTTATTAAAAAATTAAAAAAACTTTCCAAAGTTTTATTGCAATCGTGCTATGCCACAAACCTTCGCCGGAGTATATTAAACAACTTTCCAAAGTTTCACGGCAGTCGGATAAACGGTGTGGTAATGCATGAAGGACAGATAAACACACACACACACACATTCATTTTTATATACAGTATATAGATTAACTAATTATTGCGGTAACAAATACTGGCCGAAAATGTCCGAAGGCGGCCCGCGGGCTTATAAAACTTCGGGGGCCATTGGCCGCGCGACGGGCCCGCTGCACCTGCCCGGCCGAGGTGGAGCCGCCTGGACGGCCCGTCACGCACAGTGCGTTCCTCGGTCTCGCGTGCCTGAAGTACCAGTTCCGAAGTGGTTCTGGCGGAGCAACCCGGAGGGCCGGTGCGGAGAGAAGTGGACCGGGATTCGAGTCCCGGCTCGGGTAAGAGGTGCAATAATAGATATTTGTATTTACAGGCAACAGATGGCGACTTCGGACGACTGCAGGCGGGAGACTCGGGCCGCGTGCGAGGGGGAGACGGCGGCGGCGGCGGCGTGGACGGGAGGGGGAGGCGCGTGCTGGGGGCTAAGAAAGGGGAGCGCGCGCTTTTTTTCAAAACTGAGATGTGGAAAAAGCGAAAAAAAATTTTCGGCCACGTGACGCCGTCCCTTTTGAGCGCGGAGTCGCGTGACCGTAAATGACGTAGGCTCGTCTTTGGAGGCCTATATCTCGCCAAGGGTCGCCCTTACGGGCATGGTTCGCGTCCATTTGTCCTAGAATCTTGCCATAATTTTAACCCCAAACAAATTTTTTCCCTTTTCGATAAAAATGCACGTATTTATTTCGTAATTTTTAATACTCGTTTTTCGTATTTTACTGTTTATTTTCACAGAAATTTCTTATTTCTGTCGTTACGTTCTTACGTCGAAACGAACTAAGGAATGGCGGTATCGAAAGCCCGGTAAAGGGGGCGCGCTAAAAGAAGTTGCCTATCGGTGACGTTTGTTGGTCGGGTCGAGTTGGCAACGTTGCCGAAGTAAACATGGCGTAATTAAGCGATCGAGGGAACGTGTAAACGAAAACACGTGCTTAGTAATCGCTGTTACGATGATAAACAAAGCGGACTGTAATTATAACTCGATGGATAACAAACCCGCCTCTAATTCGCAAAAGAGTAACTGTGGAGAGGTAATTTTATACAGAAAGTTATTCTTTCGGATTTTCAACGATTAATTTGTTTATAAATGTAAATATTATTTTGTAGGATTATATGTACTACGAAGAAAATGGCGTTTCTCCTCTACACAAATATGCGTTGAATGGAGACAAAACAAATTTGAGAAAATTATTGGATTCTGTCGAATCCATCGATTTGGAAGTAAAGGATAAATTTGGCAAAACGCCTTTGATATTCAGCGTAATTGGTAATCACGTGGAATGTGCCATTATTCTACTTAAGTCCGGCGCTAGAGTGGATAACAGTGACAAATGTGGACAGACTGCGTTACACTGGGCGGCACATAAAGTATGCCTTTGACTTTTAGTCGTGTCGGTTGTTAAGTTTTTGTAGACCGTTAATTATTTACGTACCGATGCGCGTGAGTGATCGACGGTCTTCGTCCCGTCGGTTCTCGTCGCGTCGAATATGCCGGAGCTTTCGAAATCGTAAAGAAGTTGCCGGACCTCGTTACGCGGCGCGGAGTGCTCCGCGGCGGAGACTCCGTCGGGGTCTGGCGGACCTCGGTGCGGCTTACGGTTCGGTTTCTCGTCCGCGTTACTTTTGTTTTTGCGTACGGCGTGCACGGATGGAAAACCGACCGGTCGTGGCGTCCGGGAACGCGCGAAGTGAAAAATTTAAATCTTCTAAATCTGTTTGTTTCAAATTTCCGGGTGGAACTCGGTGGCTGACGGAAATTTCCTACCCTTCGTCCGCGTCGGCCGGACTCGTTACGGTCGCTGCGGGAGAGACCCGTTCTTTGCCCGGTGGTCGCAAAATTTCGTTAGGGTCGACGTGTCGAAGTGGCGTGTTAACTAATCGATCGGTTACAAAGAAGGAAATCAATTTTATAATCTTTATAAAATTGATTTCCTTTTTTATTTTATAATATAATGTCAAAGTGTTTATAATATTAGAAGCATTATTTGTTAATACGTTGGTTAAAATGAAAGTTTTTTGGAAAGAGTTAAAGATTATTTGATTTAAATGTACTGTAACATTCGTATCAAATATTTATTGTCTGAATTTATCCTTTAAAATGCTTTGAAATTAGAAATGGAATATAATTTATAATAAACTTAAAAATTATTGCATTATTTTTGAAATTTTATGTATTTAAAGAAGACTATATATTATTATTGATTATTAATTAATGTGGAATTTTTTAAAAACTAATACATTATCCATTTATATAAATACTTTGCTTTTAACGTTTAGCTGAATTATTCGCTACGCCTTTAATGATGGGCAAAATTTAAAGAACATTGGTGTTTTCGACCCGAATAGAGGGCCTTTCTCGTTCGACCGGGTCGAAAATGTTAGCGTTCCTTAAACTTCGCATGTCGTGAAAGGTATACGTATTGGTGTTAATTCGGCTGACTAACTAAAATAGCTGGTTCATTTTTATTGTTTAGCATTTATATTATTTTTATTACGGTACTTAAAATAAAATATAAAAATAAAAAATTGTATATATTGTTATGTATGGAAAGTTATGTATGTTATGACTATTGTATTATGTATTGGTTTTTGCACGTACAGATTTGGATTTTGTTTGTTTGGTATTTTCCTTTTTTGTTCCATGTACAAAGGGTATTTGTACCTTGTACTAAAATAAATAAATATATATATTAATAGATAAATTTATTAATGTTTAATTAATGTTTGGTGATTTTCTTTTTGTTCTAACGTTACAATATGAATCTATGAGCACCGAATTTTTGGATCTGTGGAGGACTTATCGCACACCGTTGACGTTATTGGAGTAATCGCACGGAAGTGGGCAGACTCGGGTTTATTATGATAGTGGATTAATATTTTCAAAATTTCTCTTGTTTCAGACGTTTTTTCTTTTGAATCTTAAACATGGTTATCTATATATATATATAAATGGACATGTGTGTCCCTATATTTCACTTTTCAGCCAAAACTACACATCGCACATGAATGGTGTTTGTATGTGGTAGTAGCCCCGAGTCTCCATTCGTGCACTATGGTGGTTGCGTCTCGATAGCTATAAGGGTGCGGGAGATATGGGCTTGAAAGTGGTTGAAAGTGGAAGATTTTCTATTTCGATTTTAAAAATTTTCGAATTTGAATT